AACTCGGACGCTACCTACGGTCATACTGCTCAAACGATCAGCACAGCTGGAGCCGCTTCCTACCCTGGGCCGAGTACGCCCAGAACTCCCTCAGACAATCCACCACCGGCCTTACTCCGTTCCAATGCATACTCGGGTACCAGCCTCCACTCTTCCCCTGGACGGAGGAGCCCTCGGAGGTTCCAGCTGTGGACTACTGGTTCCGAGAGAGCGAGAGGGTATGGGATTCAGCACACATCCATCTCCAGCGTGCAGTGCGGAGGCACAAGTTTTTCGCAGACGTCCGTCGGTCAGATCCCCCTCAATTCCAACCAGGCGAGCAGATCTGGCTATCGACCCGAGACCTCTGCCTCCGCCTGCCGTGCAAGAAGCTGAGTCCCCGCTTCATAGGTCCCTTTCCAATACAGAGGCAGGTTAATGATGTCACACAGCCTGAGTGGAAGATCCAAGAACTCGGACGCTACCTACGGTCATACTGCTCAAACGATCAGCACAGCTGGAGCCGCTTCCTACCCTGGGCCGAGTACGCCCAGAACTCCCTCAGACAATCCACCACCGGCCTTACTCCGTTCCAATGCATACTCGGGTACCAGCCTCCACTCTTCCCCTGGACGGAGGAGCCCTCGGAGGTTCCAGCTGTGGACTACTGGTTCCGAGAGAGCGAGAGGGTATGGGACTCGGCACACATCCATCTCCAGCGTGCAGTGCGGAGGCACAAGTTTTTCGCAGACGTCCGTCGGTCAGATCCCCCTCAATTCCAACCAGGCGAGCAGATCTGGCTATCGACCCGAGACCTCTGCCTCCGCCTGCCGTGCAAGAAGCTGAGTCCCCGCTTCATAGGTCCCTTTCCAATACAGAGGCAGGTTAATGATGTCACAGCTCCAACTCCCGGCAAGGTACAGAATCCATCCCACATTCCACATCTCCCTCCTAAAACCTTTCTCCCCTTCCACCACAGGATCCACCGAACCGGACGCACCTCCTCCCCCAGAGTCGTTGGAAGAGGAGGCAGTCTATCAGGTCGGTGACATTCTGGACTCGCGGCGACGGGGCGGACGGCTCGAGTAACTGGTGGACTGGGAGGGATATGGACCGGAGGAAAGATCCTGGGTGGCCCAGGACGATATCCTAGACCCCTCTCTTCTGGAGGAATTCCATCGTAACCGCCCAAATCGTCCCGCACCCAGAGGCCGTGGCCATCCCCGTTGTCGTGTTAGGGCGTCAGGAGCCGCCCCTGGGGGAGGGGGTAATGTCAGAGAGTCACAGTCACTTCAGTCATCACAGTCATCAGCACCGACGTTCACAAGATCACAATCACCTGCATTCTGATTCCCCGCACCTGCTGCAGCTAATCAAGCTCCCCTATATCAGTGCTCACCTCACACAAGATCAACGTCCGGTCTACCGTTCACATCCTTGAACCTAGCCTGACTCACATTCTAATTACCTGTGTGTTTCCTACCTCAGACGTTCCAGTTTCTCCACCGATCCTGTACTCCACCGCTCCACGTGATTCCCACAAGAAAGCAAAGAACTGTTCCCAAAAGCTAAGCCCTCTGAGCCCTGTCACTGTGTGCTTCACTCACCTCCCGTCACCACCTGGTTCACTCCATAGTTTCATTCAATAAAGACCCTTGTTTGACCAATTACCTCTGTGTCTCCTAGCCTGTGTCGTGACACTTAAAGGTTTACTGTTCACGACAATTATTTTGACTCTTATTAACATGGAGATATACTAGCTCAAACATAAAAAAAACATGAATAATATATTTTTAAATGTGTAGCGAATCAGCTCATGGGCAAATATGAATAATTAATCATAACTAGTTATAATTAATTATAAATATTTAGATCCGATTTGTTACAATTAGGATTAAATCATGTTTTATATGTTATTAGTTAAATTTAAAAAAAAAATGTGTTAAAAAAGTGGATATTGAATCATATGAATTGCCCATGTGTGTTTAGAGACATAACATTGGTTATTTTTGTAGATGTCAACACAGTGGTTTAATAAGTGGGTGGAAAGATGAAACTATGTAACACGCTGAAGAAGGCATAGAGCTGAAATGTTTGTCTTTATGACTTTACCTGAAAATTGAGTCTCTCTGTAACACACTACACCTTTACGTGATAGATCAGTTCATTTTCAGGGAGAATGCTGCAGAGAAGTTATTCAGAAGTAATTATACGGTGTCAAAATTAATACAACTGCATGATTCATTCAGATCAATGTAGGGTTTGTTTGTTGCTACTTATTCTTCATGGAAGAGTCCATTTAATTAAATGTGCTTGTCGGTGTTAATATGTTAATTGTTAAACCTGTACCAAGGTTGTTAACATGGCCATTATTTAGCAAAGGATATGCATTTGTCAGCTGGCTGTTGAATTCATCAAATGTACCTGATACGCACACCAGAACTACCTTTTTAAAAGCCAGGATCTGCAGTTTATCAGTCAATATACATAACAAAAAGGTTAAATTAGGAAATGAAAGTTGTGCTCAGCTGGTTGCATGCCATATACAACATTTATGAGTTTTCTTTAAATATTTCAGTTTTTATTTCAGGCAAATGACCTAACCATGTGTAAATTAAGTCTAGAGTAGGGTTCAGGTTAATCTTGCCTGAACCCTACTCTAGACCCTGGGTGGGCGCCCTGGAGGCTTGGGAGGCTGGTCCAAGACGGAGACACGGGAGGCCTCCAGGGCGGATCAGGGAGCTCAGGAGGCCAAGGTGGGGCAGGTAATTCAGGAGGCTGCGGCCCCAGCCCCTACGGCTGGAGCCCTACTACCCCCTTCCAAAAAATACTTGGAGACGCTTGTGGGCTCCAAGGCCCTCTCAGGGCCAAAACCGGGCACTGGAGCGAGCGCTGGGGCTGGAGCCGGCACTGGAGCGAGCTCTGGGGCAGGGATGAGGGTGGAGAACAGTCCCTTTCTCCTCATCCTCCTCTTTTGGTTAGGGGTGAATTGGGCGGCCGGCAGGCTTGCCACAGGAACGGCCGGCGGGATTGTGTGAGCCGCGGCTGGCAGGCTTGACATCGGCAGCGGCCGGCGGGCTTGACTTGGGAGCGGCCAGCGTTTCTGGGCTGAGGACGAGGGTGGAGCTTTGGAGGATACAGGGGTATTTGGGGTTGGGCAGGCAGTCCGAGCCATTGGTGCAGTACGTGGGGGTTCCTGGCCTGAGGTGAGCTGGCGAGACGCGGCGTGCTTCAGAGGGGGCTGGACGACAAGTCTTGGGATGTTCCATAACTTCATCAACTTCGAAGTTAGAACCATTTAAAAAAAAAAGTACGAGATTAATCAGCTCGATCAGGGGAAAATCCGAGACAGGAAGATCGCAGCGGATCATCTCGTCGTCCAGTCCCAGCAGAAAGCACGCACCAAGATCAGCGTTGTGCCAGCTCAGCTGGTTAACTAGCTCAAGGAAGTCCTCCACATACCGTTCCAACCTCCGATCGGCCTGCCACAAACCCCACAGCTTATCTTCAGCAGTCATCAATTTTTTTATGGTCCGGTCTTCTGCCACAGATCAAGCCGGAGACAACAGGTTAGTGAATGATAAGCAGGTTTATTGACAGGTTTAGATGAAGCACAATGATTGAAGCAGTGACGGGTGAGTATCCAGTTCAATTGACAGTTTTATGAATCTTAGCCGAGTCCAGAAGATGGGTTTCCTTAGCAGGATTGCGGCGGGTTCGTGATCTTGGAGCAAAGCAGAACAACGTAGCAGGAACCTTGGAATCCAAGGGTAAGTAGAGATAGGTAAATAGCATAAACAGAGTCTGGTAAGTCCAGTGTAGTGAACGGTAGACCAGACGGTGAGAGACTGGAAGGAGCGTGCTCTTGAAGGTGGCTTGATTGGAGACGGCAGGTGCAAGTGATCTGGAGTGAGTGGTGATCGTGACTGTGAACAGGTGTGAGCCGGGGAGGATTCTGGGGTATGGAGTCCAGAGCTGGTGACTGGGAACAGAGACTCCCTGACACTAACAGGTTTCCACATACCAAATAAGACCACCTCCCTATGTTGCAACTGCAGAAATTAGGTTAACTACCAGTTAGTTATCATGAGCAAGTAGATCCGAGTTTCAGAGGGAGAATCCCAATTTAATTTCTGCATTTTAATTGAATCTTTAATGTATCAAGACGATTTCCTAAAATATTGTTAAGCAGTGGCCTAATACACAGTAAGCAGGACTACGTATCTTTCACACCTTATTTTTAATGTACGAGTGGCTATCCATCTGTCTAACCGGCTGTCTGTCTATCTATACATTTGTAAGGAAAACTGGTTTTGTCGTTGCTAACTAACACTAACCAGCCCCTTTGTAGAAAACAACACTCATCATGATGGATTTTTTTTAGAAATTCTGACAAAAATGTCACATTTACTCAGAATATAAGATGCTAAATATTTAACTGATGAGTAGCCAATAAAGTATTCAACCTAGAATATCATATGATTATCCCTAAATTTAACATATGTGACAAAAAAATCACTGAAGCAACAGGAGCCTTTTGCCATTTCAGATGTTTTTTGTGTGCATGCGTTTTCACTACATTCAAACTGAATAATAACTCTGCCACTCTTAACTCTTTTTGCAACTTAGTGGGTGTAACTCCAATGACTTCTGACATAATAGTAATAATATTACTTAGTGCTTATTTTTTACAGCACTTTTTTTGCAGCTCATGTGTTCATTAATTTGTTTCTGTTTAACTGTCCATAAGACTGACATGTTCATCTATGCATTCCCTTACTAAAATCAAATAACACAGGGCAATGTATATTATTTCATTCAGTTTGTCAATTTATTTATATTTGTTATTTACTTGAACAAATTTTCATCGGTCCAAATTTATCCAATCAGATTTCATTTTTTTTAAAAGTTGTTTATACTGTATGTATGCAATTTTTTTTAAATGACATGAATCTAGAAAGAATGCTAATATATATTATTATATGAGTATTCTTTCTAGCAAACATGTAGCAGATATTCAGTCTCCACCACCACTTTCAATCGAAAAATAAATAAATAATTTGAGTCAAACGCAATCGGATTGAATGAAGGCTTTCCAGTTGAGTCTGCTTGAGCCATCAATCCAACTATAAACAGATTATCTGGGTTGCATGTAAACATACAGTAGCAACTGTGGCGCTCTGTACCAAGACGAAGTTTATCTAATATTTTGATTCCAGGGAATTTATCTGAATCAAATATTTGAGAAACAACTTAATAAAAACAAAATTAGAGGCTGTCTACCGCAACCATTCAATATTTGAAACTATAGCGAAGGAAATGGTCAGGTGTGGCCACAGGTGCTCATATGTACATGACAAAAGAAAAGCTCTCAAGTTAAAATATAAACAAGTAAAGGATACAAAATAAAACGCATGGAGCAGTGCTGTAGGAGCGTCACCTGTTCAGATGGTATTGGATACATGTCATATAAAAAAAACAACAACAACACATTTGAGAAGAAAATCAGATTTAAACCACATCTGGTTTAAATAAATCGCTCTGGTGCAAATGTAGCCTTGATTTCACACATATACTTGCTTTCTGGTGCAATTTAAAATAGGCAAACCATTTAAAACTCTTTCTACAGAAAGAACAAGAATAGTGTCTCACATCTGCATGACTCTTCAGGTGTATCTGTAAGTGTGATGGTAAAAGAAATTTTTTATTACACTGATCACAATTAAATCGCCTTCCTCCAGAGTGAATTCGCAGGCGATTTTTAAAACTGCTCCTTTGTCTAAACATCTTGCCATATTCTAAACACTGCTGTTTCTTTCCGGAATGGGTTTGCAAATGACATTTCAGGTCTTTTTGATTTGTGAAACTCTTCTCACGCTTAAGACTTGCGTAAGGCCTCTCTCCGGTGTGAAGCCTCATGTGAGTGTGAAGATTTCCTTTCAATCTGAAACTCTTTCCACAGCAGTGGCACATGAAAGGTCTCTCTCCAGTATGAATCATCATGTGAGTCTTGAGATTTTCTTTACGTGTGAAACTCATTCCACAGTGGTGGCACATGAAAGGTCTCTCTCCGGTATGAATCATCATGTGAGTCTTGAGATTTTCTTTACGTGTGAAACTCTTTCCACAGTGGTGGCACATGAAAGGCTTCTCCCCGATGTGAGTTGTTACATGATTCCTAAGGTCTTTCTTGTCAGTGAAACTCTTTCCACACTGATGACATGTACAACAGTTGTCTCTTGAGTGAATCCTTGCGTGCCTATTTAAGGTTACTTTGTAGCTGAAACTCCTTCCACACTGATCACACGTGAAAGGCTTCTCTCCAGTGTGAACTCTCATGTGATAATTTAGATTTCCCTTTTGTGAGAAGCTCTTCCCACACAGTTTGCAGGTGTAAGGGTTCTCTCCAGTGTGACTTTTCAAATGAGCATTCAAGGTTGGTTTGTATGTGAAATTCATTCTGCACTGAGGGCACGAGTAAGGCTTCTCTCCAGTGTGAATTCTCATGTGAGTTTTGAGACTGCCTTTATTACTCAAACTCTTGCCACAATGACGGCACGTGAAAGGCTTGTCCTCTGCATGAATTCTCATGTGATTCTTCAGGTACTTATTTAATTGGAAACTCCTTTCACACTGCTGGCATTTGAAAGCCTTCTCTCCGGAAGCCTCTCTTAAGTGGGAATTAAGTGTTCCTGAATTTTGAGCTATATTTTGTGCGGAAGTATTTTCATTCTGTGAGCAACTAAACGATTTTTCTTCAGTTACGAAATCATGATCTTCCTCTTTCATTTCATTGGGTACTTCACTCTCCTCTTTCAATGCTACCAGGTCTAGGACAGAAAGAGACAAATACAAGTTAACCCCAGTTTAATGGTAAAAAGCAACACACATGATAGCATTTAAAACAGAAACTAACATGTATGCTGGATCTCATACCCACTAAACTACTGAAATCTACAAAAACTCACTTAAGCTGAACTGCTGATACTCCCAGTCATACAGCTAGAGTGACACATCTCTTTATCCAAGCATTCACACAATAGTTCTCATAAACTCATACAATTATATCTGATGAAATAGTACAGAATACACATGATCGGCATTTGTCTGAAATGCTATGAACAGCAGCTACGATAATTATTCTCCCGTTTTTACCTGGCAAGTAATGGCTCAAAAAGATACGGGGGCAAAAATGCAGCAGTAATGAGTTCTAGTCTTTTATGTCGAGCAAGACAGCATTTTTATGTTTTCTAATATCAGCATGATTGGAAATGTTTATTGAACTGTCTGTTTTATAAAAATCAATATCACAATAATTTTATAGTGACTTGCATTTTAGACTAGTGTATTGTTGATAAAGATTTCATTTGACTGGTAAATGCCCTATAGTGTAATATTATTTGAATTAATGGATACATTTGATTACATTTACGACTTGAACATAAAAGATCACAGATACAAAATTTTGAAAATTGCCCATCTAAAATGTTCCTGAAAAAGAAAAAGTTACTCTAGTTTTCCCTCTTTCTTGTCTTCTCTTTTGTTAGAAAAACTGAATTAATTAAAGTCTAATCCTTAAACGAAGCTTTAAAAAAGCTGAAATCAGGCTTTCACATAAGAAAGGAGAGAAAGCTCACATAAGACTTATTTATTGCTCGATTCCATGAACATTTACTGCTGTTTATGCTAAGGCATGTTAAAAGATCAAAGACACGTTTTAATATAACTCCGACTGGATTCGTCTGAAAGAAGAAAGTCATACACACCTAGGATGCCTCGGGGGTGAGTAATTTGTGGGATAATTTTCATTTTTGGGTGAACTAACCCTTTAATGTTAGTATTATAATAATTTGTATGTGGGTTGTTGACATGACATAGCATTTTCACTCACACAAGTGAAATAATATATAAATATGAATATTTCACATTTTTGAGCCAAATCTCAAAATTATCCTATGGTGTGACTGTCTCAAGCATGGCATATTTTTACAAGTGTCTTTTTTAGTAAACGGCAATAATTTTTTCATACATACATTTCTAAAAGTGTCCTCTGGTGTGACACCATATTCTAATTTTAAATCGGGCAATTCCACAGACAACTTTAATTAGCTGAAGGACCCCATTCAATGTCATGTTACTGAAGCCCCCTGTGAAGCCCATGACATGTGCACATGGTAAGTTTTTGTCTCAGAATTGTTCAAATATTGTACTTTTTTTGGAACCACTATAAAAGTGTTACGTTTTGTTGTCCTTTGGTGTGACACCCCTAAATATACTGTATATACACTGAACATTATGGTAAGGGGCCTTACATTTCCGAGGAGTGCTTGCGGTGTTCGGCCAATCACAGTGCACTGGGTCAGCTGGCCAATCAGAGCGGACTGCGCTTGTCAAAGGAGGGGGCTTTGTAGAAAACGAAGCGTTTGAGAGAGGCGGGGCATAGAGGACCTACAATAATGTACAGTATTTGAAAAATAATGTGTTTTTTGAACATTAAAGCAGGTCAACATATTCTGTTACACCAAATACACAAAATAATGATCTTTAAAATAGCATCATATGACCCCTTTAAATGCAATTATTACGTTAAAATATTTTCTAATCTTTTTGCAGAAAAATTGTGCTGTTATAAAGTGTCATGAAAATAAGTATAAAATGTGATATTTCATTGTTTTAGAAAGGAGGCTTCAGGCTGATACTTCAGACAGAAAGGAGGAAATCCTAAGAGAACAACACATTTTGTTGATGAAAAATTTGTTTTTTTAAAAACATGGTTGATTATGTTGTTTGTATCAAAATGATCAGTGTTGATCAGTGTTCTTTCTTCTTACACAAATGGATTACATTTAAAAAAAGGTTTTGTGGTGGTAAAGTTTCACAAATATTTGCTGTCAAGGGAGTCACAGTTCATTTTGTTGATGAATTTGTTTGCTTTGTTTTGTTTAAAAAAAAACTTTGAATATGTCAAAGAAAATGATCAGTGTTGATCAGTGTTCTTTCTTCTTAAACAAATGGATTACATTTAAAAAAAGGTTTTGTGGTGGTAAAGTTTCACAAATATTTGCTGTCAAGGAGTCACAGTTCATTTTGTTGATGAATTTGTTTGCTTTGTTTTGTTTAAAAAAAAACTTTGAATATGTCAAAGAAGAAAGAAAGTTTATTTTTTATACAATCAATATCAAAGTTAAATAAAAAATATTTAATGCAATACTTCTCACTTTCTCTTTAAAGGCAGCATTAGTATTTGTCTGGAGAGGGGGGAGAGGAGGAAAGAGAAAAAAACAAAAACAATAATAACTAAACATCGGTCGAACTTTATATGACAGAATTTAGCATTTTTAAAGTATTTAGTGTCATATGAACCGTGTATATATAGTATCTGTATGTACTTTGTTACAACTGTATATATATATTTTTAATTATCATTATTATGATTTATTTAGCTATTTCCAAAAAGGGGGAATGGGGAAGAAAAACCTCACATGTACTAAAAGACTACTTTTTTCTGTCTTTTCTTCTTTTTCTTTTTATTACCACCACCAGTAATGCTTCCACTTCTATACTTTTTTACTATTTAACCAAAACTATTGAAAATATTGTTACAACCAATCAGTGTTACAAGAAATGTGTCTATACTATATTCATATATGGTACAATAGTATATTATTATTATTATTATCATTATTATTAGTAGTAGTAGTATTAAAATATATCACAAATGTACTTTATTATTTTTGTCACTTTTTTTTTTTTCTTCCTCTTTCTGTCTTTCTCATATATTGAAAGGCTGTGGAATATGTCTGTACTACACATTCTACATTTACATGTATTCATATATCTCTTTGGTTTTGATATATTCTTTTTGTTGTTGTTTGTTCATTTCTCTCTATTTTCTGTCATGTCTACTGTCCTATTTTTCAGTTTGTCACATTTTCACATTTAAAAAAGAAAAGAAAGAAAGAACAAAAGTATTTGTCTGGTCATGTGATCTCAACATGCATTACTGACAAACTATTTTCCTGGTTGACTCTGTAAAGCTGCTTTGACACAATCAGTATTGCATAAAGCGCTATACAAATAAAGGTGACTTGACATGTCTGCCCACATGTGTGACCCACTCCCATGTCAGATAAAACAGTTTTATTTAGGCCACTTACATGTCATTCTTCAAAAATATACATTATTTCGGTTTTGATAAGGATCAGATGACTTCAGCTTTGAGAATGGAAACCAACCTGTTTGTTCCTCAGTATCTTCATGTTTCACTCTGAATGCTTCGTCAATCCTCGTGTCGTCACTCTCCTCTTTAATAAACGCCATCTTTACAATAGTCACGTGGATCTCAGTTACTTCACCAGGAGTTTTTCTGCATCTTTGGATACTCTGTCATGTTAAAGATGAGAATAATTAACAGCCAGTCAAGAGTGCTGATTAACGGTCTTAAACACTCCAAAATAGAACTCCAAAAGATAACAGACCAAAAAATAAATTACATTTTCATTTTTAAAAAATGCAATTGGTCTGTAAAAGTTTTCAGTGCACCTGTTTGTGTTCTCGTTGCATTTACAGAGTTTTGACCAGCAGGTGCAGTCAGCTTGTGCTCTCTAGTGCTTGGCAGTCATGGCCTAATGGATAGAGAGTCGGACTTGTAACCCGAAAGTCACGGTTCGAGTCTCTGGTCCGGCAGGAATTGTAGGTGGGGGGAGGGAATAACCCTCAATACCACGACTGAGGTGAGACCCTTGAGCAAGGCACCGAACCCCCAACTGCTCCCCGGGCGCTGCAGCATTGGCTGCCCACTGCTCCGTGTGTGTGTGTGTGTGTGTGTGTACTTTGATGGGTTAAATGCAGAGCACAAATTCCGAGTATAGGATACCATACTTGGCCACATGTCACTTCACTTTCACTTTTTCAAATCATTGTGCGCTCCATTACTAAAATGTCAGTGCCGAATTCGTTACGATAAACTGATTCCGATATAGGAAGCGAAATGAGACACTTCTTCTGTTACTCATATGTGGATGTGCCTTATTCACAAAAATAACGTCCATTAATGTTAGATAAAACATTACAATGTTACATTCAATGATAAATAATTCATTTTGCATCGTGTGTAAAACTATAACATTTATTGAACTGTTTATTGATAAAAAAAAAAGCAAAAAAACGATTAAAAACACAAACCTTTCTTCAGCCCAATCACAACTGATGGAGAGCAGCGCAGCCGTATGACGTCATGTCTCCAGACCAAAATAAAGGTCTTCTTCTTTTTCTTGCTTTACGGCGGATCACAGACTTATAAGAGCATTACCGCCACCTAGCTCTCAAATGGACCATTGACACTCTATCTACAATTTCCTACCAACCCACATTCAAACACCCTTGATTCTTGCACCCGCTTAGAGTCTTCATAGAGCTTTATCCGGCGCTGCGCAAAATAAAAGTCCTGTTCACACGCAGTTTACATTCCAAACAAAACTTCTCAAAAAAGATTTATTATTATTATTATTAATATTTAAAACATATTACTGCTTTTGCTGTATTTTGGATCAAATAAATGCAGGCTTGGTGAGCAGAAGATAATTCTTTAAAAAACATTAAAAATCTTACTGTTCAAAAACTTTTGACTGGTAATGTACATTTCAATACTGTTACATGTATAAAATCTGCTTTAACTCCTACACTTAACATGTTTTTGTTTTTTTTTACTAGTAAACCACATTTGCACTACTTGCATTTTAATACATGGATAAGCTGGTATAAATAGTTTTTCTGCACCCAAACGTTTAGACAGAATCTCACACTCTTTCATTGGAATAGCTTACACAGCATTTATTTTATTTATACTGTAATATTTTCTGTACTTAAGCCGCTGCCACCACCTTTAATTCTTTAAGCCAGTGTGGTCTGGCACCAGAAGACACACCACCACAACTTCAATCACAACAGGTTATTTTATTAAGAGAAGGGACTGCAGGGGCCCGTTCTTCGTACGTCGCTAACTCAGTTAGCTGGATTTGATTGTTGATGATTTGGCATGATCTTGGATTGTTTGGTTCTTCGAAGCTCATCCCGGAGTTGCTGTCATAGCAACAGCTCCGTAAACTTAAACCTGCTCGGGAGCAGCTTATTTCATGTAAACAGGATTAGACTGCATCTTTTTAAGCAGAATTGATACTTAAAACCTGTCCCAGCTGCCGCTACTGTATTACAGGAGTATCCTACTGATCCAGGGACAATAATTTAAAATAATAATCATTTAAAAATTAATTTAAAGATAATATAATAATGTTGTGTAGTCTTTAATACTATAGACACAGCCAGTTTTACTCACTGAAAGATTTATTCGTCATAAAATTATTACTTCATAATTGTATTCGAGTCTTACACACATGCTATACAGATAATGTAGAGTCATGCATTAATTTGAGTGGTGACATATATAATGGGAGTGGCTTGATGGAGCGCAGGAGATGCAGATAACATGATCTTGACCCTTAAGAAATGATGTCATTACGTTGCTGTCTTGCCGCCAGCCAATCGCTGCATTGCTGATTGTGGTTTCGAGTA